GTGATCTCCCTGTTGGTGTGTGCGCGGGGTCACCTCTGATGTGTCTGCTCATCCTCTAGAACCTGGAGATCTGCTTCTATGCCGAGGGCTGTGGCCTGCCGCCTGAGGCCCTGCACACGGCCACCTTCAAGGTACGGGCCTTTGGTGGGTCTGGGGTGGGGGAGCCAGCCCTCCTGTGCTCACCTGTGTCCAGGAGAGCCACGTAGCCACAGTACCTAGCACCAAATGAAAACGTGGGCCCGTTTAGCCCTGGCTGGTGTGGCTCAGTGGATAGAGCCTCAGACTGAAGGATCCCGGGTTCGATTCCGGTCAAGGGCATGTACCTCGATTGCAATCCCTGGACCCGGGTCACGGTGCGTGCAGGAGGCAACCAATCGATGTGTCTCTCTCACATGGATGTTTACCCCTCTCTGTCTCTCCCTTTCTTCCACTCTCTATAAAAATCAATGGGAAAATCTCCTGGGGTGAGGATGAACAAAACAACAAAAAGACCATGGGCCTCATTTTCCAAAAAAAGGAAACAGCAGCAGCAGAACATTAAGCCGGGCGTGAGGGTCTGAGCATGTGGAGGGGGTGCTAGGGTGGCTCGCCCCTCTGCCAGGCAATCCTGAGGGTGTGTCCCGGCCTGCGGTCCCGGCGCCCAGAGCTTTCCATGTCAGATTAACGTCGCCCTCTGGGCCGCGAGCTCCCGGAGGGCAGCGCCGGGCCGAGGCGGAGGGTGACAGTGCAGGTGACTTCTGGGCTGGCCGTTCACAGGACCTGCAGAGGGACTTGGAGCTGCAGGCGGCCTCCAGCCGCGAGCTCATCAGGAGGTACTTCAGCAGCCGCCTGGAGAAGCAGGTGAGGGAGGTCCCCCCACCTGGAAGAAGCTGCGCGTGGAGCTGCTCAGCGCCTCCAACCTGCTGCCCCTGGACGCCAACGGTGAGTGCAGGCTGCCCGCTGGCCACGGGTCCCGGGGGCTCTGCTCGCCCAGCGGGAGCACTGGGTGCATTTCCCCCGGATGGCCGGGAGGGGGCAGTGCTGCCGAGCAGGGCACAGCCGCAGGGAGTGGAGGCTGGACAGGGGGCTGGGGTATCCTTGGCCGTTGTAGCCACCCACCCCCGCCCCCGCCACTTGCCAGGCTCCAGCGACCCTTTTGTCCAGCTGACCTTGGAGCCCAGGCACGAATTCCCCGAGCTGGCTCCCCGGGAGACCCAGAAGCACAAGAAGGACCTGCACCCGCTGTTCGATGAGACCTTTGAATTGTGAGTGGGTCCCACGCTCGCAACGCTTCCCCAGCCCTGGACCAGCTCCCGCTGACTGGGCCCAAGGGGCTCCCCTGAGGTGACCTCGTTTGGGTCCGTGGGAGGGGCACCTGGGACAAGGGTTTGCTGGCATCCGTCCCCAGCCTGCTCCCTGGGAGGGGCAGGGCTGCTGGGGGAGACTCCCCTGTCACTTCCAGGGAAGGGTCCAGACCTAAAGTCCTCTGTTGCCCAACACCAGCGGCCCCGCCCCGGGACACGCCCCCTGACTTAAAGCATCGGCCCAGTCCGAGCATCAGACCATGTGGCCTTGGCAATCCCTCCCTCCCCCCAGGGTGGGTGTCTCCCTCCCAGTCCTGGCCTGTCCTCCGGACCAGGAGGCGAGCCCATGAGTGGGGGTGGGTGGAGTGGCAGTGTGTGGGGTGGGCAGCCGAGCCCCGCTCTGCCCCCCACCCAGCCTGGTGCCTGCTGAGCCGTGCCAGAAGGACGGGGCGTGCCTCCTGCTCACGGTGCTGGACCACGACAGGCTGGGGGCCGACGACCTGGAAGGGGAGGCCTTCCTGCCCCTGCGCTCGGTGCACGGCCTGCGCGGGACTGAGGAGCCTGGGGAGGTGCCGCAGACGCGCCTGCCCCTCACCTACCCCACGCCCAACGGTAGGCCTGAGCCCCGCGCTGGGGGTGCAGGGGAGGGGCAGCCTGTCAAGGCTCAGACTGAGGCCCCCGAGGTGAAGCCGTTGGAGCCAGCGTGGCGGCTGATGTTGCTGAGGCCTCTGGGTCTATCAAGAAGCCAGCGTCACTGACGCCAGGCCAAGTGTAGGGACTGTCTGGTGGGGGGAGGTCACATTTACCTGGGGAGGGGCCATCTTGCTAACAGGAGGTCGCGTTTGTGCACGTATGGGCCAGCTCTACTTCCTGACATATACTATTAACTTTTTCAACCCGTACCACCACCCAATGAGGCAGATACTATTATTGCTATTTTATAGACAAGTAAACTGAGGCAGAGGTTAGCTAGCCTGAGGTCCTCATATTAGAAGGTAACAGTTGCCTGCTGTCCCCTGCACTACCCAGGCACTGCCCCCCACCCCCCAAACCTAACCCCCAAATGCCTCTCTTCACAGGGGACCCAGTCCTGCGGCTGCTTGAGAGCAGGAAGGGGGATCGTGAGGCCCAGGCGTTTGTGAAGCTGCGGCGGCAGCGAGCCAAGCAGGCCTCCCAGCATGCCCCACAGCCTGGGAGATAGCCCTGGAGGTTGGGCCCCTGGTAGGGACAGGCTTTCGTGGGTGGTCTGGTTGTCCCCACCGCAGTGCAGCCCTCCGGCCTGGCCTAACACTCAGAAGGGCTCTGCCAGGCTGGAAGGCCGAGTGCAGACCCCTCTGGTCTCCTTCCAGAGCGGGACCCACGGTGCTGGGGACACCACCAGCAGTACTTATATGTGTTTTCACAGTATCTTCCATCTGTGTATGTCTGTGTCCAACTTTCCTCTTCCTAAAAGGATACCTGTCATATAGGAGTGCGCTCCCTCCCCCCCCCCCCCCCCCCCCCGCCTCAGCCTTGGCTCAGCATTCTCGGCCAAATCCCACACCAGGGGCGGGGAGGTGGCTGTGCATCTCCTGCCCTTCTCCTCTGGGAAGTGCTGGCAAAGCAGGGACTCAGCCATCTGTCTCCCGAAACCTATTCCAGCCACTGTGTGTGTGTGGGGGTGGGGGAGGCTCCCTTGGGCCTCTTCAGCCCCCCACTCAGACTCACTGGGGCCAGCTCAGCATTCTCGGCCAAATCCCACACCAGGGGCGGGGAGGTGGCTGTGCATCTCCTGCCCTTCTCCTCTGGGAAGTGCTGGCAAAGCAGGGACTCAGCCATCTGTCTCCCGAAACCTATTCCAGCCACTGTGTGTGTGTGGGGGTGGGGGAGGCTCCCTTGGGCCTCTTCAGCCCCCCACTCAGACTCACTGGGGCCAGGGCTGTGGGCACAAGTGCCCTGGGGGCGGGTAGCCATAATGAAGGAGCCCAGGTCCCCTCCTGACGGGGCTGCCAACACCCAAGCTAAGGAGCCTGGAGCCAGGGACCCGGCTCTGCCAGGAGAGAGCTGGCAGGCAGGGGGGCTGGCATGGAGGGTGGAAGCCGAAAGGCCAGCTTGGCTAACCATATCTACTGAGGACATCTCCCCGAGCCAGTACCGGCACCTAAAAATGTTCTTAGCAAAAATAAAAAAATCGCAATCCGTCGTCCTCAGAAAACATGCTGTTGGCCTACAGTGGGGCCCGGGTGTCAGGTCATACAAACCCCCGCCCAGCCTGCAGGACACCTTGGGCTGCCCCTCCCTCCCACGTCACAGGTAGGGAGTAAGTGTGGGGTAACTGATGCAGAAGCAGATGCGGGGCAGCTGGTATCACTGATATTTGGGCCAAGAGCTCTGAACAGAACACTACCAGGCCCACCCATTTCTGTGGTCCTGCCCCGCACAGGGGCCGGGAACTCCAGGGGGAGCACCGGGAGCGGGGAGCCTCCCCGGCACAGGCTGGGGCTGGGCGGCTGCTCTGCACGGCAGGGCTTCGAGGAGCGGTCCCAGCCCTGCCGGGGGCAGTGGCCTATGTGCTGGGAGGCAGCGCCCGAGGCCGTTGTCATTCTAGCTGCGTGACCCTAGTCAAGTCCCTCACCCTCTGAGCCTGCACAGGGTGACGTGGGGGAGGTCTGAGATCGCTCCACAGCCCTCTTCAGCTTTGAACTTCTGAGGCCACACAGAGAGGAGCCCTCAGCTGTGTTTTCTCACCCACCTACCGGGCCAGCTGAGGGCAGGGGAGGGAGGCAGTGGCTCAGAGGCTGGGACTCGGCCCTCAGGGGGCAGGGTGAGGGCGGGACATCTCTGGGCCTGGCTTTCTCTTCGTTTTTATGAGAAGCCCTGGTTGTTCCTCCAAGAAACCACTAGGGCCCTGCGTCCTTCGGGAAACAAACCAGTGGCAGCTGTCCATCGAGCCCTAAAGAGGAGAGTCATAGGACCCTGAGCCCCCACAGCAACCACAGAGCCCAGGGAGCCCTTGGGCCTCTGCTGGCGCCCAGCCTGTGTGTGTGTGGGGGGGGATAAGGGGGTACAAGCTGTTTCCTCAGCCGGGGCAGAGCTCCCAGCCCAGGTGGGGGCAGGGCCCTGACAGGCACAGCTGAGCTGGCCCACCCTTCGTCCAGGGGCCCTCAGCTGGGGCCGCACTGCCCTTGCCCCATGCAAACAAGCTACCATTGCAAGTTCATATTTTATTCCCAATAAGTTTGGAGCTTTGTTGATTTTTGCATTTTTGTAAAAAAAGAAAGTTTTCACTTAATTCATTGAAAGCCCTTTCGTGCTGAGCACAAGGGGGGCTGGGGCCCGAGCCTCGCGGCGTTCTTGCTCCCACCCCGGACACCCAGCGCCGGCAGCGGTGGCTGCCCTGCGCCACTCCGCCCTCCACCCGCTGCATCTGTCTGTACAGAACAATTTTAAAATGGAAGCTAAGACACACTATACATCGGACAGGCACGCACACACATGCACACGGCGTCCGGCCGAAGCGGCAGGCCGTCAGCTGCACTCAGAGAGCACCAAGGAATGCATTCGGAGCCCCTCCTGGCGGAGGGGGGCAGGGCCCGGGCCCCTGGTCCTCAGCCCGCAGCCATGGGGGACAGCTGCAGGCAGCAGGGGGTGGCGAGAGGGCAGTGCCAGCCTGGTAGGTGGCCCTGGGGCCAGGGAGGCTGCTCAGGGGACGGGGAGGACTGAGGCAGATCCCCGGCCTCAGGAACCTGAGGGGTCCAACTCCCAGGCCTTGACCCTCGAGGGCTTCAAGGGCCTGGGGTTGGGAGCGGGGCTACTTGGGCCTGCCAGCCCCCAACGATGCACATGTGGTAAACCCAGGAGCCAGGCTGGCCCGGACCCCAGCACTCCCCTCAGGCCTCAGGCCCAAAGCAGGTCTGCCTGGGCCTCTAAGCCCCTGGCCCTGGCCTGGGAAGTGGGGGACCAGGGCCTGCCCTGAAGGCCTCTCCTCTCCCCTCGGCCCCTTCTAGCTTCCCACCTCCCTTGCTCAGGCCCCAGGAAAAGTTAAAAATAGTTAGTCCTGCATATAAAAGAGACAAACGGACTCCCTGCCGGAAGGCGGTGGGAGAAGAGGGAGGGGGAGGGGGGAGTGGGCAGGGGAGGACTGCAAAATAGTTCTTCTTTTAAAAAGTGCTTGGTAAGTCTGTTTTAAAGTGTGTGTCTATATCTACACACAGATATACACACAGATACTGTCACACTGTTCGCCCACGCATACCTGCACACGCACGGAGATGTATACATATACATAATCATATACATATACATACATACATACATACATACATACATATGTGTATATTGTTGGCACGGCAGCACCGCACGGTTCTGCTCCTGACACTTAAGGCATTTCACCGACTGCATGTGGAACACGGCCTGCGGGGACAGGGACATGGTGGTCACTGGCCGGGCCTTGGGTCAGTAAACGGAGGCTCAGTGCTCAGGAGGCATGTGTGCAGGCCCCGGCTGACAAGTCAGGGTCAGGCCGATCACATCATCTCAAGACTCCAGATTTCCGCTTGGGCTGTGGGCCGAGTGGGGGCGTCGGAGCCGGGGGAGGGAGGGCCAGGGCTTTTCCTCGCACTGATCTTGCAGTGACCCTAGGTCCCCAAACGAGGACAATGGGGCCTGGAGAGGGCAGACAGCCCTGAGGGTGCATGGCCACCTGTGAGTGTCTGCTGTTCTCCAGGACCCCCAGCCTCCCCCATCCCCGGTGCGCCACAGGATGCAGCCAGGGTGCCCTGGGGACCTCCCCATTCTGGAACGTCTGCTGGTTCGTGCAGAGCTCAGAGAAGCCATCAGGATGTGACTTAGGTCAGCGCCTGCCCTCAAAGTGCTGGGGTGGGTGCGGACCCACTTCCTACTTCCTCCCTCCCCAGTGAGTGGCATTCCCTTCCTAGCTCCCCTCCACCAGGATGGCGTCCCCGGAGCAGTGAGGACCCACCAGCGTCCAAACACTGGCTGTGGCCTCAGATACCCCCACCCAGTGTTCCCTGACCTCCTAGGCTGACCTTGTCCACTTGCTCTAGGCGGGCCCGCAGCTGCTTTTGGAGGGAGTAGAGGGTGGAGAGCGAGAGGGCCTCCAGGTCGGAGAAGGCGGGCAGGGCCTGCGGGTCGGGCCCTGAGTGTAGCCGCTCTAGCTCCTCCCGCAGCTTCTGCACCTGCACCTCCAACGCGTCCCGCTGCTCCCGGGCCAACTCACACTCGGCGCCCGCCGCACTGGCCCGCTCACCAGCCTCCTCTGCCTCCTTCTTCCAGGCATCACAAGCCTGTGGGCCAAACACGCAGCACCTGGTCACGGTGCCCCTGCCCCCGTCCCTGGGAGCGGAGCGCTGGGAGCCGGTATGAGCCACTGTGGCTGCGGGGCCTGCTGGGGAGCCGGGCCAGCTGCCTGGGGAGGGGGCAGGGAGGGAGCTGACGCTGCCTGCAGAGAAGGGAGGTTCAGGACCTGCAGGAAACCCTCCGTGGGCAGGGAAGGGGGCTGGGCCCGGAAGAGCTGCCCCGGGACAGAGGGCCCATCTCAGAACCTGGAACCTGGACGTGAGCCCCGGAGTCAGGGCTTTCTTAGGATAGCCCAAGGGGTGCTGGGACCCGACCACGTCAACAGCTCAGAGCTCCGGGTCTGGGCACCAGCCACCCGGGCTCCTGCCAGGGGGAAGGAGACCACCACCAAGTTTCCGCTCTGTCCTCCGGGGACCCCGGCCTCCCACCCCCTGTGCCGTGTGAGGGACACGAGCTGGATGCCACCAGGCCGTGGGGAGGGTGGGTGTGGGGGCCCGTACCTGCTTGGCCTGCTTCCAGGACTCCTCCCACTGCTTGATGGTACCGTTCGCTTCCTCGAGCTCCTGCCGAAGCCGGGCCAGCTCGGCAGCCCCGGGTCCTGACAGGAAGGCAGGGGATGTACCCGGGGAGAAGCTGCCAGAGGCAAAGTGCTCCCAGATGCTGCTGTTCATGCCGTTCAGACCTGCCAGGGAGGGGAGGAAGTTCAGCGCTCTGGAGGCCCACCCGGCCCTGCCAGGCCTCCCAGGGGCCTCGGTGCCAGGCTCTGCCAGTGCCAGGCTGGAGAGTCTGGTGGGGACCTGTAGGTGCTGCGGTTGAGTTAGACCTACTGTGATGCCAACCGCTACTTATCAGCTGCCACTGAAATGTGAGTCTCATCCTCATCTACAGGATGGGGTGACGGCCCAGGGAGCGCTGCACGGAGAGCAGCCTATGAGGTGCTCATCTGTAGTGGCGACTCAGGCTGCACGGGGGGCGCCTTCACGCGCCCGGGTGAGGGCTGGGAGGGGCGTTGGGGAAAGACAGGCCAGGCCTCCGATGACAGCAGAGCTGCGGAGCAGGAAGAGCCAGAGCCCAGGGCCACCCCGCTTTATGGCAGTAAGGAGGCCAGGACACAGGCTGCTCGACTCCCATGGCCTCCTTTCCTGTCTGCCAGGCGGCCCACTCACGCCCCGCGCCCACTCACACCCCTCGCCCACTCACGCTCCTCACCCACTCACGCCCCTCATCCACTCACCTGTCCCCCAGACATTGGCTGACACTGTGTGCCCTGCTCGGGGCCCCCGGGCAGCCCTAGCCCCCAGAGCAGGACCCACAGCCACCTCTAGCCTCATCCTGCCCCCATTGTTCTGGCCCAGGGGTGGGCAAACTTTTTGACTCGAGGGCCACAATGGGTTCTTAAACTGGACCGGAGGGCCGGAACAAAAGCATGGATGGAGTGTTTGTGTGAACTAATATAAATTCAAAGTAAACATCATTACATAAAAGGGTACGGTCTTTCTTTTTTTAGTTTTATTCATTTCAAACGGGCCGGATCCGGCCCGCGGGCCGTAGTTTGCCCACGTCTGTTCTAGGGACTCCTTTCCTGCCTCCTTTCCCACTAATCCAGCCAGGATTTTCTGGAACCAAATGGATTTAAGACAGTGTCCTCCAAGCAACACCAGTGCACCCGCAACGTGACGGCGTGTCCTGTGTGGAGACCCCGCCATGTGAACGGGCTCAGAGCCCGCCTGCCTGCCCAAGGCGGGGACCAGATCACTGCAGCAACACACATCCAGCAGCAAGCGCTGCCCCGCCTCGCCCCGGCTCTCTCCGAGAGCAGCCACTCCTCAAAGGGGGCCCTCTTTTTAAATTTTTTATTTATTTAATTTTTTCCATCACCATTCATCTCCCCTATACCCTTCCCCCTCCCCACCTCCTCCCCCAGAGGGCCCTCCTGACCTCTAGGTGCGGTTCCTCTTATTCTGAATCCCAGCCCAAGTCCTCTGACTCCGCACAACTGCTCTAAGTATGACCTCATGTCTGTCCCCTGCCTCCCCCAGGGCCACGGCGCCAGGCCGGCAGGGACAGTGCAGCTCACACTGTACCTATGAAACTGCCCAGTGACCGCCGGGGGAAGGAAGGGATGTGTGGCCAGTGTGCAGAGCTGCTGGCCTTCAGAACAGGGGACAAGTCAGACAAATAGGAGGCTGAAGTGTCAACACAGAACAGACACCGTCTAACCGCAGGTGCTCGGGGAGGCACAGCACAGCGCAGGGCACGGTCAGTGAGACCGGGATCACGGCACGGAGCCGGCGGGAAACGGGGGCCCCCTTGGAAAGGGTCTGACTGTCAGCCACTATGCTGTACGCCTGAGACCCGTACAAAGTAACACTGAAAGTGAACTAACTGAAAAATCAAACAAACGGAAAAGGTGCTAAGACATCACTGCGCCGCCCTGACCTCTGCAGTGAGATGAGGGAAGGTCCCAAACACGGTCAGAGCCCGGAGCCGGGTGCGCAGGTGCCAGCACCCTCTGGGGAGGGGGTTTCTGAGCCCGAGGAGCTGGGGGGCGGGGGGGGGAGTAGCAGCTTCTGTTTATGAAGAGGCAGCAGGTTGGTCCCTGCTTGTCACTGGTTTGGCTGTTACCTTGGTGAATATTCGCGTTCCTACACGTGGCAGGTAGCGGAGCCGCAGGTCTGCACGCACCTCCAACCACTACGCCTGGCCCTGCCCTCCAGAACCCCCAGTCCAGCCAAAGGCCTTCGGGCCTGGAGCAGGGTCTCCCTGGTGCCTCTTCCTGCCAGGAAGGCCGCGCTGAGCCAGGCCTGAGCCGGTCAGACCGCTCCCTTGGCCTCTTGGGACAGGCGGCTGTGAGCCTGCCTCCGGAGCCCGGGCGCCTGGACAGAACCGCCACACTGACATGAGGACAGACCAGGCCCTGGCGGCTCTGAGCTGCTTCTCAGTGCGCCCTGGCCTGTGCCTCACAACCACCGTATGAGGTGGGTGCTGCCACTATAGCCATTTTACAGCGGGAGAAACTAAGGCCGAGAGACTGTGTCACCTGTCCAGGATCACACAGCGAAGGGAGGCACGGGACAGGAGCCTGACTCACCTCCCAGCCCAGAGCCCGGCTCTAACCTCCCCTCTGCACTGGCTCCAGCCCTGGACGCAGAGGCCAAAGGCACGTTCCCAAAGCCCAGTTCCTGTCCCAGGTCTCAGTGCGCCACTTCTTACCCAAAGATCCATGTGAGGCTGAGGTCCCCAGAAATGTGTTTTCCGACTGGCTCAGGTGGCCCTGGGGCTGCTGCAGGAAATGTGAGGAGAGGCTGACGGGAGGGGACGGGGATGCTGAGTGGAAGGAGGCGGAACTGCCCAAGGAGCCCGGGATGTTCACCGGCGCCGAGCTCTGCAGCAAGCTGCCGCCTGCAAGAGAGGCCGGGAGGGGCCGGGTGAGGGAGGGAAGCCATGCGGGGCCATGCCAAGTAGGGCACTGCTCCATCCACCCACCCTGGGCCAGATGGACCCCTGGAGCCCTCCGGCCACCCTGCCCACCGCAGCCCAGTACCGATGGTGGTGATGCCCGGGTGGGGCACGGTGCTGCTATCGAAAGTCTTCTCCAGGGCGGCCACCCCAAACTCGTTGAGGTCCAGGTCATCCAGGGCAGACTCTAGGAGCAGAGCGATCAGGGTCTGAGCCTCCCAGTCTCCCTGGGCACACAATCCCCAAGCTCCAGGCCTCGCCGCTTGAACCCACCTGCCCTTGACCACCTCATCTCCTGCCCCCGCCTCATCTTCACGCTCCAGTCCCACTGGACCGTCCTCTCCTGAGCCTCTGCCTGGGGCTGGGCTGCTCCTGTCACACGAGCCCCGACGCTGTCTGCCTAGCAAGTCCAGCTCCATGGTCTCCTTTCTGAAGCCTTCCTGGACCCCCCGGGAGGGTCGGTTCCTGCCTCCTGATGTTAGGGTTCACACGCTCATCTCTGAGCTGCTGAGGGCAGGCTCGTCGCTGGGCCTTCAGGGGCTAAAGCATAGGAGGTGCGCGACAGATGTGCCCTGCCCTCTGCTGACTGGCCCAAGGGAGGGGCAGTGTCCCTCCTTGATGTCCTCGGGTCTGGAACCCCCGTCTCTACACTAGGGCCTGGCACAAAGGGGCACCCATCCGTGATGCTGACGGGGAAGAGCCGTAGCTTCGATGGCCGGGGACCCCGAGGCCGCTGTGCAGCTGTTCACTGCACAAGGAAACCCGCTGCGAGGGAGTGGGCGCCCAGGGAAGAGGCGGCTGTGCTCTAAGGGCTGGCCCTGGCCCTACACCTTGGGTCCATCTCTTCTTTTTTATATATATATAATTGATTTTTTACAGAGAGGGAGAGGGATAGAGTTAGAAACATCGATGAGAAACATCAATCAGCCGCCTCCTGCACACTCCCTACTGGGGATGTGCCCGCAACCCAGGTACATGCCCTTGACCGGAATCGAACCCGGGACCCTTCAGTCCGCAGGCCGACGCTCTATCCACTGAGCCAAACCTGTCAGGGCCCATCTCCTCTTTAGCTCAAAGGCCAGAGTGCCTGCCCTCCAACCCCAGTCAGATGTCTAAAGCCCGAGTCTCACTCCAGAGACCTCGTGCCTCTGGGTCCAGATCCAGGCCTGGACTTGGCAACAGAAATGGCCTAATTACCTATGACCGACTCTACCGTGTCACTGGTGGGGTAGAAGGGCAGAGCGTTTGCATTCATGCCAGGGATGCTGCTGGTGCCCGCGGGGCTAGGGGGAGTAGCTGCCAGGCTGGAGGTGATACTAGAAGAGATGCTTGAGGTCAGGGGGCTGCCCACGGGGAGGATGCCCAGCATGTCCTGCAACGAGAGAGTAAGGAGAGGCAATGAGATGCCCACCCAGGAGGCGCCGGCCAGGCGCTGGGTGGGGCAGAAGGAAATGGGGCATCAGCCCTAGTCTGGTTGCCCCCACGCCCAGATGGGGCCCCACCCACTCAACACCTAGTTGGAAGGTTGGAGGTTACAGGGCCACTCACCCCTACATTCTTGCATAGGGGAACGGAGAAGTGAGTCCAGTGCCTGGCAGTGTAGACACTCAATAAGTACTTTTTGACTGACTGATGAGTGACTAGGAGGTGAGGGGCTCTAGGGCCTGACCCACCCTGTCTGGATTGGGGCTGGTGCCCCACCTTAATCCTGCCCTCAACTTGGGGGGAAAGCATGCCCCCCGCTCTCTGTAGCCTCCTGGGGCTGTGGGCCTGGCTGGCCACAGCAGGTGCCAGAAGGGGGCTGAGAGTTTGGTACCTGTTTGGGCTGAAGCAGAGGCTGCTCTTGACTTCTGGGCTCTAGGGAGTGGGGTTTTAACTTGGCCTGAGGAAGGTCAGAGAGCGGGAGATGAACATGGTGCTGTGGAGGCCTCTGAGCCCAGGCATCACCCACCTGCCATGGCTCACTGAGGCTGCAGGGACAGCCACCTGCACTCCCCCTTCACGCGCATGCCCCTGGCTCTCCCTCATGCCTACTCCTTCCCTCGCCCGGGAACCAGGGGCTGTGCCTCTCTTCCCGGGGACTCCTAGCGTCAGAGAAGCCCAGTGAGGGGCGGCCCCATCAGGCAGCACAGGGCAGGGGAAAGGCCGGCTGTGGGGTGCCCCCATTAAAGCTCTGTGACAGCTTCTCTAGCCTTCCCATCTTCATCTGTAAAAAGGGCCGGCCTTCCTCACTCTGCTCAGCCTTGGAGGCTGAGGAGGGGGCTGAGGAGGGGGCTTCCTAGCTGCGGGTCAAGCTGCTCCTTGGAGCAGAAGGCTAACCTCACCGGGCCGCCCCTCACCCCTTACCTGGCATTTAAAATTCTTCAGGAACTCGGCTCCCACCTGGTCTTCCCTCTCGAAGCCAGGAGCCTTCTTATAGCTGCCAGGGGCCAGGCCGGACTCCCCAGGGAAGACAATGCCCTCCAGGTTTGGGGGTTTCCTCACGGAGCCCGGGGGGGAGCCGCAGAGGTTAGACGGGCTGCCCAGGCTGCTGTTTCTACAGAGGAGCTGCAGGAAGGGAGCGGGCTGGTGGGCAAAATGCAGGCCAGGGCACGGCCTGCCCTCCACCTGCCAACGGGCAGCAGCCCACCCAGGAGACCCAGAACCTGATGCGGGAACTGTGTGTGTGTGTGGGGAGCGCAGTGACAGAAGGCTCTGTCCCCTCTACCAGCACTACCTGGGCTGACTAATGCAGGCTCTGGGGACACTAAGCCCCACCCCCCACCCACTTCTGACAGAGAAAATAACTCCGGGGCAGAAAGGGAAGAAGCCCAGCCCGACTGGCATGGCTCAGTGGGTGAGCGTCAACCTCTGAACCAGGAGGTGATGGTTCGATTCCCCGTCAGGGCACAGGCCTGGGGTGTGGGCTCAATCTCCAGTGGGGGGCGTGCAGGAGGCAGCCGATCAATGATTCTCTCTCATCACTGTTGTTTCTCTCTCCCTTTCCCTTCCTCTCTGAAATCAATAAAAATATACATTAAAAAAGGGGGGGGAGAAGCCCAAGGCCTCCTCCCCAAGCCCAGGCTGAGAGGGGTGAGGGACATGAGAGGCAGGTGCCCACCCATCCCCTGGACAGGCACGTACAGTGCTGAGGTCAGGGGCATGTGGACTGGAGGGGCTCACGGGCACCGAGTCTCCGGCAGCAGATGGCATGTACAGGACGGGACCCGGCTGCGTGGGGCTGGACACAGCGGAGGAAGGCTGCAGCTCATCACTGAGGGCCGGCTCTGCAAGACACGGGGCCGGTGTCGGCAGGCTCTGGGCCAGACAGCACCTGGGTCTCCATCCCAGGACCCTGCATCCCTCCACCTAAAGGGAAGGCTTCCACCTTATCTCTACCAATTATCGTGTGCAAGTTGTATTCACGGCGAGTCTTCACAATGAAGACAAGACCACAGTCTCCATTTCATGGATAAGAAAACTGAGGCTCAGGGAGGCAGGTAAGACGACCAAGGTGACAAAATTGGGGACCGAAGAGTGGGGACTTGCGCCCCGACTGCAGGACTCTAGAGCCTGAGCCACGAATCGGACCTAAGGGAGCAGCGTGGCATTTTGAGGGACAGCCCTGCTCTCAGCAGGGAGGGCTCAGCAGGGCAGAGAGCCACGTTCAGCTAGTGATGTCTGCCACGCACGTGGCACGGGGTGACTGCTGGGACCTGCCTGGAGGTTGTCACCCTGCCTGAGCCTGCGCAGGGGGAGGAGGGGCGCGGGGCGAGGACACTGCCTCGGGACAAGGGGGCAGCTTACGTTCTACGTGGGCGAAGGCGCAGAAAGGTCCGCGGGGACAGCTGCCCGCCTGCTGCATGTCGTTGCACTTGGTGGACTTATAGATCTGCAGGGACAGCACAGGCAGGCGGTCAGGCGTGGCAGACGCAGGCGGGTGCCCACGGCCTGGCAGTTAGACGGCCATCTCCTTCTCCTTCCCGTTTCGCTTCCCCAGGTGTCTCCCTGCCAGCTTCCTACTCAAACTCCTGAAGCAGACACTGCCACCCCATGCCGAGGGCACCCGCCCTCCTGGGATCAAACCAGCCCTGACCCACCCTCACAGGGCTCTTCCCATGCTGCTCCCCACTCAGGGTCCTGGCCAGGGCTGGTTTGTGCCCCCGAATGTGCCCCTGGGCACTGAGGGAGCCAAGATCGCAGGTAGCACCTGCTCACCCAGGGCATCCTGGGCTGGGACCTATGCTGGGCCGAACTTCCCACCCTGCTGCCTGTGGCCCATAAGGTGGTCTGTCTGTCTCTCTCTCTCAGGGTGCGCTGTGCTCCACGGAACCAGGGGAAGGGACAGCATGTGCCTCGATGTACCTACACAAGACCCCGCACACTGATATGGCTCCAGGCCAGGCCATGGGCCAGGGGCTGGGGAGCTATGCCTGGGAGGCTGCTGGTACGCAGACTCACAGGCTCTGGTCTGGAACACAACTGTTCAGGGCTTTATTTTTTACCTGGATTATAAGCACCACGCATGGTGCAAAACCCAGCATGGCCAGGGCGCTGTGCTCTCTCTGTCAGGCCTAGGGAACAGCCTGGGAGCAGAGGGCCGCTTGGTGAGTGGGGCTCAGAACAAGGGAAGTCGCTGAATGAAGGGGCAGGGCCCCTTTAGGCACTGCTGGTTGGGGAGCCTGTGGCTCTATTCCCTCTTCCAGGATGGAGTCAGGGTGGGCTCTGCCTTGCTTCCCCAGGAGGCTGTGTGAGGCCACCCGCCCCAGGCCCACCTCCGGGTGGAACTGCTGCTCCGTGCGGGTGTGGCAGTACTGGCAGGCGTCTCCGTTCTCGCACTTGCCTGGGTCTCCCCACTCATCCCCGTGTTTCACGTTTGGACATGGAGACGACCTGGTCCAGTGAGAGGGTGGGGCACACGGATGCCAGAGGGAGAGATCAGGATGTGAGGGATGCCAACTAGATCCCTGCCCCGGACCCAGAAGCGGGCCCTGCTGCTCTGCCCAGTTCTGCCCGTCACCCAGCTCCTCCCACTGAGCACTATGGGGCCCAAGGACAGCCACGCCGCAGCCACCACACTTTCTCCATCATGGCTCAGCCCTACAGACACCCCTCTGGATTAGAGCTGAAGGGGCCTCAGAGGGTCGGACCCCAGATCCTCCTTTCATGCTGGGAGGACCCAGGGGGCTCCCGTCCTGCTATCCTGACCAGCCCCTTGTCCCTGGGCCGCCCTGACTCCGGGAGGACAGTGGAAGCCGCCCTGCTGGACCCCATCCCCGCCACCCTCCCTCCCTGGCGGCCCTGCCTGGGAAAGAACCTGTATTTGTGCTTCCGGGGGCTCCGCCGCCGGTCCTTGCTGTTGTGGTAGTAGGGGCAGGCATAACCCTGGCGGCACAGCCGCGGTGGCTTCTTGCACGGCTCCGTCTTATAGTTCCCCAGCACGTACGCGGTCTCTGCACGGGCCAGAGGCGGGGTCAGGCGGGGGGTGGGGGAAGGGAAAGGGAAAGGAGAAGCCACTGGAAGGGTCTAGGAGCTGAGGCTCCTGAGAGAGGTAGGAGCAGGGCCACCTTTTCAAGGGCCAAAGTGGAGGCTGAGATAAGCCAGGCCAGACGTCAGGAGGATGCTGTCCTCACTGGACATAATGCTCACAGGGTAATAGGGCACCCGTGGGCGGTTCACGAACACATGTATTGTATACACGCACAAGTACGCATGTGTGAAAGCCCCGGAGAAATGTGGGGTGCACCTGGGATGATGGGAGCAGACCAAGGCATGTCTGGGGAAACTCCCCAGAAGTGCCCCTGGGGCTGTTGGCTGGAAGTAAGGGGGTGAGGGGGGACGCCCCCCTGCGGAGGTGGTGGTGAGCCGGTCCTTCGGGCAGGAGCAGGGTGCCGACAGGCTGGTGGGGGGCCTGGCATCTGTGGGCCACCGTTACCTTGCCAGCGCGGCTCTTCACTGAGGATCTTCTCTATCATGGCGTGGCTTGCAGCCCCAGCGGACTGACCCTCGATGCTGCCCTCCACGGGGGCCTGGCCGTTCTGCAAGGCCTCCATGGCCTGGAGCTCCCTGGGAGGGGAGAAGAAGGGAGGGGCATGAGGGGGAGGCACCAGAGTGCCAGTCCTGCGATCCACCTGTGGTACTCACCGTGCGAGCAGCCAGGCCCCCACCCCGGCCCACAGCCATCACCCCAGCATGGCGTCCAGCCCACCTGATGTCGTAGACAGGGGAGCGGAGGTCATGGGGCCCGTGGGCAAAAGCGCAGTGCAGGCCGTTTTTGGTGCAGTTGCCTTTGGAGTCCGTCTCGTGGATGCAGATTCCAGTTTTGTAGTAACGCAGGTGGTACCTGCGCTCAGTGTCCCCTGTGGTCCGGTGCAGGAAGGGGCATCTAAAACATGGAAAAGGGGGAGGGGGTCACTCAGCTGTGGCCCCTGCAGCTGAATGAAGGTGGTCCGTCCATGTATCTATCTCAGGATGTGCTGGGCTCTGAGCGGCCGGGCACTGGTGAGAGCCACCTCCCTTCTGATGTGGCCCTTGGGCTGAGCAGGAGAAAGGCCCGTGTAGGGTTTCCCGCAAGTGGGAAAAGGAGAGGGGCCTCCCCCGGGTCCAGGCCACAGGAAGCCGGGCCAGGCTGCAACAGTGCCCCCCAAAGCAGCTGGCTGCTCAGACTCTGCCTGGCCAAGGACCTCTGGCCCAGGAGGCGGGGGGCACTTCTGAGGGCGGGTCCAGACACTCACTCGTCGCCCTCCGGGCAGAGGCCCGTGGCCTCGTCGTACTTGGTGCAGTAGACGTCGGGGCTATAGTTGAAGGTGCCGTCCCGACGGCGGATGGACCGGCGGCGGCGCTGGTTCACGAAGTGCCAGTGGAAGCAGGTGTAGGGCCGATGCTGCGTGCATTTGTGTTGCACAAAGAGCGGGCACTGCTCCGTGCGGAACTCCTTCAGGTACCTGCAGAGACAGCCCATGGGGTGGGCCAGGGAGGAGAATGAAGCCTCTGGTCGCCCAGCAAGAAGCTGGCCACATGTCCCCTGAGGCTCTGCTCTGGGTGCCAGTGTCAAGGGGGCACCAGAGGGCCCAGAGCAAAGGCTGGACCTCAGCCTGCGGATCTCTCCCGATGCCCAGGTCCCAAGCCAGCCTGAAGGGTGGGCACCAGGCACCTCAGGGCCCTCGGCAGCCAGCTGTCTGCCGTGGTGACCAGCGAAGGCTCCTGGTTTCCCATCAAAGGCTGCAAACCAGAGCGTGAGGAGCCTCCCGCAGACGCCCTGCGGGGTTCTCTGCTGCCCAGATGTGCCTGCCAATTAGCCCCCAATCCCAGGAGCAGCCTGGGCTCCAGGCTGATGGCCAGGGAGGCTGCTGTTGGGAGCTGAGAGCCCAGGTCACAGCATCCTCTCAATTACTGACTCAGTCCTACTGTCCTGTCTACCTACCTCGTCCCGGAGGCATTTCCCAGCCCCGCCCAGGGGAGTGTTTGGGCAGGAGTTCGGTTAGCAGCATCTGAAGAAAACCTCTCTCAGCCTCGCCTGTGGCCGACCGCTCATCCCCCAAACGTGTACCTGCAGCCAGGGTGTTTACATCCTGACTGTCCTGCCCCTGGGGGCTCTGTCTGGCCTTCTGGCTTCCTCCCAACCTTCACCTCTCTCCTTCGCTCTGCAGGTAACAGCCAAGACATCCCCAAAGCCCCTCGCCCATGCGCCACCCGGTGAAGGGCCCCAGGTCCCCCTCCCCCTGACAAAGCATCCGTCCAGCCATCTGTTCACTCTGCGGGTCCAGGTGGAGGCTTTCCTAGATTTGCCGCCCCTCCCCCACGGCAGGTGGTGCAGCCTGTACTCATTCCCTCAGGCCCTAACAAAGCAGCTACAAATACTCCATAGAGAGCACTGGATGACAGGGAGGAGGAGGATGCTTCTAGAAGGGGCAGAAGGGAGTGTGGAAGGAGCCACACCTGGAGCTGGAGGACATGGGACATTTGCTGAACGACTATAACATGAAATAAAAGCGTCTCAGAAAGGGCCACGTCCACAGAACACCAGCGGCAGTTTCACAATGCCGCCAGGGCAGAGCACTGACCCTGAAGCCAGGCCTCCTCCCTGTGGGCAGCATGGCAGCGCAGGAAGCCTGGGCCTCAGCAGACAGGGCGGGCAGTCCTGCTACCAGCCGCTCAGGAGGGGAGGCCCCAAGGACCAGTCTAGGCAGCAGGGAGCCCACTTTCAATCAACTCTGACGAGATGAAGGAAACGTCTAACCTTCTGCTTAAGTCACGAATGGAACTTACCATCCACCACCTCGGAGCCAAAATCCCCTTCCCCACCCTCTCCACCTTGTGCCAATGGGCAATGCAGTGCCCACAGGCCAGGAGAAAACCACGTGGAAATCACTCGTGTATTCTCACGGATTGAAGTGAAACAGAAATGATCAGTGGAAATGCACAGTCCCGTTGAGCTCCGACACATCTTTCCATTTTAAAGGTGTGAACGCACAGGACTGAAGAAACTAAATAGGCTGAGCCTCACTGTTCAGTTCAACCAGCTCCCAGGAAACCCACGAGGTCCAGGGGTCTAACCCAGGAGGGAAGACCACCCACCACCCCCTCCATCTTCCAAGATCTGGGGAGGTCACAGGGCCATAGGACTGAATTCTTCACTCCCATCTCCCAGGAACACAGCCGCGCACTCAAGGGAAAGGACTACAGCTTCACGTTGAGAGGCCTACTGTGGCCATGAGTCGGAAACCGCTCAGGCCCTGAGGAGGTAGATCTGCCAGGGAAAGCCATGACTCTGGCCAGCAGAGGGCTCCACAGAGCCTGGAGGACACAGCGACTGGGCATTGCTTCACTTGGCTGAGGAGCAGTGCCTTCATGCTTGCCCCACGGGGGCTGGCTTTAAAGCAAAACCAGCTTTCACTCCTTCCCCAAAACATCACATTAACTATCCCAATAGTGGTTCACTTGTACACGTAAAGGATTATTATGGAAGTAACATGCCCACTTAAAGGGCAAAATCACCCTTCATCCCACCATTAATAATGCTAGCCTTTTGGTAAATTTCTTCCCAGTATTTTTATATAGATAGCATCATAACGTATCATCGTGCTAAATTGTTTTACAAAACTATTAATACTTTTCTCTCAAAACTTATAAAATCAAATCCAGTTTTTAAAAAAACCAAATAATATGTTCAACATTATTGGAGTATCTTTATTTTCTGAAATTCTAATAAATAAACAGCAAAATTCAAGCTACTTGACATCTAAAAGTAATCACTTGCCCTCCTAAAGCAACAGTGATGACACAGAAGGGATAGCAGTAAGTCAGTAATTATAGCACTTAAATCAAGTGCTCAGCCACCATCTCGACTCCCATCTAAACTTCAAATCCCATTCCAACCGTCTCACCGAACAGATTCATCACGTGTGTCCCTCTCTGGGGAGGGTGCGGGGAGAACGTGAACACACGGAATCAGCAGAAAGGCATCAGAGGTGCCGGCGGCAACACCGTGTACATGGAGGCAACAGGGACCGAGCAGCTGATGCTGGAATTGAGAATCCAGCTCCCGCTGCTTCTGGAACATGCTTTCCTGGCCTCACTGCTGCCAGGACCTGCTCCCCACCCAACAAAGTCATCTCTAGAGCAGGGTCAGCAAACTTCTTCTGTGAGGGACCAGATAGTAAAGTATTTTATATTTTAGACTCAGAGGGTCAAGACATCAAATTGAGGATGTTAAGTAGGTACTTATATAACAAGAGAGAAAACAATAAAGCACAAATTTTTTATTGATGATATTCAAAATAGAATAATTGGCTACAATGTTTTTGTAATACAGGTCTACTAATAAGAATGGACTTGGGAGGGATCATACTTGCCAGGTTGAGGTTCCTTTCATCAAAATTATAAATGTTCATCTGTTAAGGCTAATTCTGTAATAACAGTTTACATATTTCATTTTGAAGGCTTGGTGTAAACTGCTTAAGTACACAGGTAAATGGATCCTGAAATATGGAGATTTCCTTTGTATTCACATCAACATGCAAGATCCCTGCTAGAACTGTAATTTGTGTTTGGAAATCACATCTGTGGTAAATTTGTGTACAAATGGAGATCTCACCTGTGGTGCAACTTTTGACAGTTCAGTGTATTAGGCAGCTTGACAACGTACGTGTCAAACATTAGTTGTCCAAGTGGCTTTACTGCAATACAAAGTTTGCATATAAGTGATGATTTGCCTTGTGATTTTGTAGTGAATTCACTAAAAACATTATGAATCTGCAGCAAAGCTAATTTCCAAAGCCATTCATTGTTCAATAATAGTTGAAAATGATTCTTCTCATTCAGAAAAATTTCAATATCAGCCCTGAACTCAAAAAATTACAAGAAAACTTTACCATTGCTAAGCCATCAATTGTGTAGTAAGGCATGTCAGAATATTCAGCTTCTATTTCTGACAAAAATTCAAGGAACTGACTGATGATGGTTAAATCCACAAGCAGGAGTGAAGCTCAGCACTGATCTTAATGGCTTATTAACACCAGTCAAAAATGTTCTGCAGATTATCTGCTAGTGAACAATATAGTAACTGTACGCTTTAAACACCATACATTTTCCTAAACTTCGTAAATGCATGTTGTGGAATCCTCATAACAACCTCAAGCGACACTTATCTATAATCTACTATTGTCCATATTCATATAAACCCTACTGGCTACTTTCTCTCCCCCATACATATTCCTAGAGAAATTTAGTCATAGAGTTCACACTTAATGGCTTAGCAGAGATGCTTCATTTTTAAGTTTGAGAAGAATACTTTTAACTTCAAGGGGAATTAGAGCAGATTAGTAGATTAAGAATACTAAATTACACAAGTGTGTGTGTGGAACATATATATTATATATAAATATACATACATCTTAAATATCTTAAAATTTGTTGAAAATCTTTTCTCTGTTTTAAAGAGCTTTAGGTAAATTGCTACTAGTTGTAAATTCATTTTTGTAAGGACACACATTGTTTTGACATCAAACATAACTCAGAAACGATATAATTTTGTAACAATAACCATACCAGTGGAAGTTGCCAAAAAATTACTTTTAAAAAACGAGGCCAAATAAAGCTAAAACTGGTGCTTGGCAAATATTTGGACAATTTTGATAAAGTGCTATAGAGTTATAGAGATTTGGCTTCCAAATCTTCTGAAGTGATCCTGGTTTAACATTCTCTCTGGCAGAAAAAGCAAGCAAATAAAATACGCGTCTAGTGAATGTCTCAGTGTGTCTGCACCTTTAAGGCAGGCTTTGATCCTGTAACTGGCTTTCAGCCAAAGAGCAGCTGTGGTTAAGGCCAGAACGAACCTCTGTAACAACGACACTACCCTAACACAGGATAGGTACAGACACAGGAACCCACCGGTGCTATGGGCACTTAGGGGAGCAAATGCTTTAGGGCCGGGGAGCCACTCGCTGGAAAATGACTTCACCCACTCCTCACGGAGAAAGTCCTGGCCCCGAGGACTCAGGAGTCATGAACGCTGCAATGTTGATAAACTAGCCCTATGTGTCCCTGGATCCCTCTTTCTATTGCTGTTCCCTGGCCCTAAGGATCCTAGAACTGGTAAAACCGCGGAAAGTTCCTGTAAGCAGCACTGACGCCACTGGCCTGGAGAGTGGGGGGAGCACTGAAAACCCTGGTCCACTGCTCCCTGTTAGGGAACACCTTGACTTGATTCAGTTTTCCCGTCACAGACGCCTGAAAAGCCTCCAAGCTGGTGAACACGTTAGTATCACATTTAAACTGCATTGATGTGTTGTTTTGTACCGTGTTTTCTGTGCAACATAGTCTTTGGCCCTGGGAGAGCGGATCTGTTCACAGCACAAATCCATTGTGTGAGACACAGGCAGCGGGATGGAGGCTCGACGGAAAATGGGGACTGAGGTGAAGATGGATGCGGAGAGAGGCGTGT